CCCCGCCCTGCCCCGCCCCTCGGCTGCCGCCGCCACCGCCTTCGGAAGATGGCGGACGGCGGGGCCGCTCCCGCGCAGCAGGAAGGGGAAGTGTCCGCGCCGGCCGGCGGCGGCCGGAGGGATCGGCAGCCCCGGAGCGTAGGCCGCCCGCCCAGCGCCCGGGATTTGCAGGTGAGCGGGTGGAGATGGGCGTCCCGCTCCCTCCGCGGGCCGGGCCGAGCGGGGCGGAGTGCCGCGTCCCCTCGGGGGCGCCCCCGGCCTTCCCCAGGCCGGCCCTGAGGGGAGCGGGCGCTGCGCGGCTCCCCCGCCCCGCTCGTTGCCTGTCGGGGCTGCCCCGGTGCAGCCAGGCAGGGCTGGGCCTCTGAGCAGGGGCTGTCGTCGTCTTCTCTTTCCTTTTTCCCCTCCTTTGGAGGCTCGGAAGGACGCCCCTGAAAGAGGACTAGGAAACGGTGGGTGGTCAGCTCTGCAGGGAACTGGGAGGGCTCTGCCGACACTTCAGTAGCTGGGTTTTAACTGTACTTCAAGTTATTTTGGCGCCATTGTATTTCCTGATTACTTGGTAGTAGTGTCCCTTCCCGCATGAAAACGTCAGTCTTCGCAAATGTGGTGTAAGACTAAGGACAAGATCTTTTCCCAGGTTTTACACGGGGGAAGTTGTGAGTGTACGATCACAAATGTAACTCGGCACAGGTACTTCAGCGCTGGATGGCAAACGCTTTTAGCAGTATCCCTTTTTTGTGTGTGACACTGAAACTGTATGAAGGTTCAAAATGTTGTAGCAACAAATTGATTGGAAAACAGGTGAAACTTTTAGTAACTGAAACTGCCCCTGTTTTATTTAATTGTACATACTTAGCAGAGAAAGATGGATATAGTTTTCTTTTTTTCCTCGTTACTATATGGGATCTTTGTAGATTTTTTGCTACTACATGTCACACTAATAAAATCTGTGTTAATACTTCTGATTCATAAGGTCCTTAGTTAGTCAACTGAAGCAGACAGGCATTTCGGGTAGATGATTATTGATAAAATGTTAAAAAACAAAGAATTACCCTCCTGGGTCAGAGTAGCTGACCATCCATCCATCCAGCTCGGTACTTGGTTTGTCGTGGCGCCATAAGAGATGCAGCATGAGGAAAGCACAGAAGCCTGGTAACCATGCCCTTTTACACTCCCTCAGCATCCCTCAGTCTTTGGATTAGGGGTGGTGCAGGGTAGATCTTTGCCTGTTCCTTTTAGTGTCTGCTTATGGATTTGTTGTCTATGACTTACCCCATCAGCTTTGCATAGCTGAAAGATACTTGCTTGTGTCCTCAAATAGAATGGAGGTCTTCAGTGCTTTTCTTGAGCTGTCTTGTTACTCAGTTTAATTTTCTTAATGGGTATATAATTCCTCAGATGGTATTTTTCCCATGCAAAAAATGCCTCACAATAATATGGGATTAATATCCTGTGTTCATAGCATTGTGTTTTGAAGGGCAGATGATGTTTCATTTTATTTGAATGTGTATTTCTTCTACATAAAACTGTAATGAAATTGTAGCCTAGTACCTATTCTGGTGTGTATGGTAAAAATATTAATATCAATTGCATAGTGTGAGCAAAATGGTTTGGGGTTGAAATTAAGGATGATTTGACAAACAGACTATTATTCAGGACAAAAGTGAGATTGCTAAAAATGACATGTTAGATGTGCCTAAAAATGAACTTGCCAGTGATAACGGCAGCATCTGGGGAGCCTTTGGGAAAAACTTTTTTTTTTAAGTATTTGCAACCATGTCTTGAGTTCAAGCCAGAAAGACTGGATTGGTTCTTAATTCCAGTACAAGCTTATTTGAGTTGTGCTTTTTCCATTTCTGTGTAAAATATTTGTAAAATTTATTATTGTTTCCTAGTCTTATCAGAGTTACCTAGCAACTTTATTTCAACTTGTTAACATTAATAAGATGATGCTTAATATATACATGTGTATATTTTCTTGTGATTCTGAATCTAATGCAGGCTGAATGTACTCTGCTGCCATTTGGTTCACACTGCTTCACTAGCTACAAGTTCCAAGTCACAATGGCATTAAGCATCGTGGGTTTTTTTTCATAAAGCAGAAAGGAAGTTGAATTTAGAGAAGTAGTTGGGATTTCTCATGTTGATGTTTCTAATTTTCTGGTGATGTGTGCATTTTCCATTAGCTTTTGTCTTATTTCTGTTCTACATGCAGTTCTAGAGTTATAGACTTCTAAAAAGAGCTCTGTTTCCTACAGTTGGCCTTGGCAGAGTTATATGAAGATGAAGCTAAAAGGCAGTCGTTGTGTTCTGACAAACCAACAACTACAAAGATCAGTAACACAAAAGTATCACACAGGTAAGACATCCTTTGTACTTCTGAAATGTGTTGAATAGGTACTGTATTAGCTCACAAAAATTTGTCGTGCTTGCTTGATCTCCTCCTTGTATAAAAAGCAATCTACAGCAGTTCATAATCCAGAATTGTGAATTCCTGTAATAATGCATAGTCTGTGTCTTCTCAGAATGCTTTTTAAATTGTATTTATTTAGGAGCCTTTGTGCTGTATGGTATTCCAAAATTCTTTGTCGTGGTTTAACCCCAGCCAGCAACTAAGCACCATGCAGCCGCTCCCTCACTCCCCGCCACCCAGTGGGATGGGGGAGAAAATCGGGAAAAGAAGTAAAACCTGCAGGTTGAGATAAGAACGGTTTAATAGAGAAGAAGAAACTAATAATGATAACACTAATAAAATGACAGCAGTAATAATAAAAGGATTGGAATATACAAATTATGCACAGCGCAATTGCTCACTACCCACCCGCCAATTGATGCCCAGTTAGTCCCCAAGCGGCGATCCCTCCAGCCCCTGCTCCCCCCAGTTTATATACTAGATGTGACATCACATGGTATGGAATACCCAGTTGGCCAGTTTGGGTCAGCTGCCCTGGCTGTGTGCCTTCCCAACTTCTTGTGTCCCTCCGATTTCTCGCTGGCTGGGCATCAGAAGCTGAAAAATCCTTGACTTAGTCTGAACACTACTTAGCAACAACTGAAAACATCAGTGTGTTATTAACATTCTTCTCATACTGAACTCAAAACATAGCACTGTACCAGCTACTAGGAAGACAATTAACTCTATCCCAGCTGAAACCAGGACACTCTTTAAACCCACTTCAGGTAAGATATGATTCAGATGCTATAAGTGAAATGCAGTGTTGCTCTTTGTTTACACAGACAGAATTTGGAATTTTGCTGTATCAGAAAAATACTGCAGTTCTTTGCTTCTTCAAAATTCAGCAAATCAGTAGTTTGTGTGAAACTTGACAAGTGAGCTGCTTTGAGTGTTGTACTTACGTCAGTACCTGATGAGACAAATATTAATTTGAAAAATTATTAGTAAGTTCATTAGGAGGCTCCTATGGGGTGAGAGAAATAAGAAGGGCTTCTTATTGAATTTGTCTGGGTTTGGCAGGTGGAAGGAAAGACATGTATGTACGTATATATCCAACTTTTGCTGGCCTGCAGTGTTTGCATTTCACTTAGCATTTGAAGATTCATTATTAATTTTTAATTTTTAATTTAAATTGTTTTTAATTTTTATTTAAATTGTTTTTAAAGAAGAGAAGTCTTTAAATCATTACTGTCAGGGATGCCATAACAAGTCCTGTATTTGGCTTGTCTTTTAATCATTGCTGCCAATATGGATCTCTGTTTAAAGGAGGTTAAGCAGCAGAAAAGATCTTAGTCACCAGAGCCATGCTTGAAGTGTATCTGCAAATGCAGATCTTCAGGAAGAGGGATTTTAGCACACTATGTGACACTTGAAAAATAATAGCTTTTTTGGTGAGGTTTTTTGTTTTGGTGAAACCACTTAAGTTGACTAATTGGCTACACAGAACACAGTTTATAAACAAATAAAGCGAACACCTCAATTTACCAATACATACCATGAAGTTACCGTTTTCCACTCCAACTGAAGGAAAAACTGCAATACAGTATCTCAAATACTTCAGTGTGATAGCTGTTGGCAAACACTTGCTCTTTGCTGGCAATCATACTGGAATCTGTCTGAGAAAGAAGGGATGGCTGCTATTTGCATGGTATCCAAAATGAGATTTTTCTTTAAGTAGACTTCAGTTTGCTCTCAGATGAGCAGTGTATTAATTACAAGGAAACATAGTGCTGCTCTTGAAGTCACCTACTCGGCTTGCCTTTCACAAGTGCAGGTATAGAATTACAGGATGGTTTGGGTTGGAAGGGACCTTAAAGATCATCTAGTTCCACCCCCCTGCCATGGGCAGAGGCATCTTCCACTAGACCAGGTTGCTCAAAGCCCCATCCAACCTGGCCTGGAACACTTCCAGGGATGGGGCATCCACAAGCTCTCTGGGCAACCTGTTCCAGTGCCTCACCACGCTCACAGTAAAGAATTTCTTCCTTACATCTAATCTACATCTACCCTCTTTCAGTTTAAAGCCATTACCCCTTGTCCCATCACTACATGCCCTTGTAAAAAGTCCCTCTCCAGCTTTCTTGTAGGCCCCTTTAGGTACTGGAAGGCTGCTATAAGGTGTCCCCGGAGCCTTCTCTTCTCCAGCCTGAACAACCCCAACTCTCTCAGCCTGTCTTCACAGCAGAGGTGTTCCAGCCCTCTGATCATCTTTGTGGCCCTCCTCTGGACTCACTCTAACAGGTCCCTGTCCTTCTTCTGTTGGGGGCACCAGAGCTGAACGCAGTACTCCAGGTGGGGTCTCACCAGAGCAGAGTAGACGGGCAGAATCACCTCCCTTGACCTGCTGGTCACGCTTCTTTTGATGCAGCCCAGGATACGGTTGGCTTTCTGGGCTGTGAGTGCACATTGCCAGCTCATGTTTAGCTTCTTGTCAACTAATATCCCCAAGTCCTTCTCCTCAGGGCTGCTCTCAATCCATTCTCCTCCCAGCCTGTATTTGTGCTTGGGATTGCCCCGACCCATGTGCAGGACCTTGCCCTTGGCCTTGTTGAACTTCATGAGGTTCACACAGGCCCACCTCTCAAGCCTGTCAAGGTCCCTCTGGATGGCATCGCTTCCCTCCAGCACGTTGTCCGCACCACGGAGCTTGGTGTCATCAGCAAACTTGCTGAGGGTGCACTCAATCCCACTGGCCATGTCGCCAACACAGATGTTAAACAGCGCCGGTCCCAATACTGACCCCTGAGGAATGCCACTCGTCACTGCTTTCCATTTGGACATCGAGCCGTTGACCGCAACTCTTTGAGTGCGACCATCCAGCCAATTCCTTATCCACCGAGTGGTCCGTCTGTCAAATCTGTATCTCTCCAATTTAGACATAAGGATGTCATGTGGGACAGTGTCACATGCTTTGCAGAAGTCCAGGCAGATGACATCAGTTGCTCTTCCCTTATCCAGCAGTGCTGTAACCCTGTCATAGAAGGCCACCAAATTTGTTAGGCAGGATTTGCCCTTAGTGAAACCAAGTAACCTCCTTATTTTCCATCTTGCTGGGCACAGAGGTGAGACTGGCTGGCCTGTAGTTTCCTGGGTCTTCCTTTTTTCCCTTTTTAAAAATGGGGGTTATGTTTCCCCTTTTCCACTCAGTGGGAACTTCACTGGACTGCCACAACTTCTCAAACATGATGGATAGTGGCTTAGCCGCTTCATTCGCCAGTTCCTTCAGGACCTGCAGATGCATCTCATCAGGTCCCATGGACTTGTGCACCTTCAGGTTCCTTAGATGGTCTTGAACCAGATCTACTCCTACAGTGGGCAGGTCTTCATTCTCCCAGTCCCTGGCTTTGCCTTCTGCGTCTTGGGTGGTATGGTTGGAGCATGTGCCGGTGAAGACTGAGGCAAAAAAGTCTTTGAGTACCTCAGCCGCCTTCATGTCCCAGGTGACCAGGTCTCCCATTTCCTTCTGGAGAGAGACCGTGTTTTCCTTAGTCTTCCTTTTATCACCGATGTACCTATTGAAACTTTTCTTGTTGCCCTTGACATCCCTGGCCAGATTTCATTCTATCAGGGCTTTAGTTTTTCTATCTTGATCCTTGGCTGCTCGGACAATTTCTCTGTGTTTCTCCCAGGCTACTTGTCCTTGCTTCCACCCTCTGTAGGCTTCCTGTTTGTGTTTGAGTTTGTCCAGGAGCTCCTTGTTCATCCACGCATGCCTCCTGGCATTTTTGCCTGACATCCTCTTCGTTGGGATGCATCGCTCCTGATCTTGGAGGAGGTGATCCTTGGATATTAACTAGCTTTCTTGGGCCCGTTTTCCCTCCAGGGCTTTATCCCATGGTACTCTACCAAGCAGATCCCCAAGAGGCCAAAGTCTGCTCTCCTGAAGTCCAGGGTAGTGAGCTTGCTGTGCACCCTCCTCTCTGCCCTAAGGAGCTTGAAAGAATGTATAGAAGAATGTCTCTGGGCTCTGTTGGAATAAATGCCATATTATATATGCTGTCATGTTGTGTAAGCTCCTTTAAGAAACTTGAGACTTTTGGCACAAAAATACAAGCCCCACAAAACAGACTACGTCCCAAAGGAAGAAAATAGAAGAGATTAAAGCATTTGTAGTGCCTTGTGACCTAAGTCCATAACAATACATTTTTTTCTGAGAAAGTAATAAGCAGATCCTTCACTGGGATATAGAATTACATTGTTTTATCAACACTGATACTTAAAAAAGTGATGGCCTTCTCTGCTACACTTTGATTTCAAAGGTATAGTAATCAGACAAATTGCCTAAATCTGAACTGGTGATCTGCCATTATTCATATAGCAGATTGTATGCATGTTCTTATCCCATGGTAGTCAGCTACCTCATAATCATCTTGCATTAATGAATTTTATCATCAAGTATTACAGGATAAGAGTATACATCTGTACAGCTTTTTGTGGCATTTTGCAAGCTAACAACACTAGCTTGTCTTGAGGTAGCTTATTGATCTGTCCCTATTGTAAAACAGAATCTGATTCTGCATTTTAATAATACTTTGAAAGTCTTTGCAACATTGTCATTCAACATATACTTAAAATTATGTAAAATAGAACTGAGAACTACTGCTATTTAGTTTTTAGGGTCCTCGTAGACAGGGACTCCAGGGCATCAAGGAAAGCCAATGTTGACTTCACTAGGGAACTTACCTTTTGACAAAACCAGCTAAAATGTGGAAAGAATTTGAAGTGTAATTAAGTCTGGTAAGCTGGATTCTGAAACAGCTGTTAAGCTTGCATATTAGCTGTGTTATCTGTGGGACCACCAGTGGCATTAAGCAGAATTCTGCATAACCTATGCTAGAATAGAATAGTTCAGTCGGAAGGGACCTACAATGATCATCTAGTCCAACTGCTACTGCAAAATGACTCTGCCATACATGTGCCCTTTTCTGCTTATTCACTGAGAAGCATACATGGCTATGTACTTTGGCAAAAAAAAAGTATGGTGAGAACAAAAAAACCCCAACAGCTTGATATCCTTAGTTTTTGAAAAAGAAGTAGTTTCAGAAGTTAGATATAAAGTATTTAGTGAAGTGTATGTACCAGTCATCTTCAAACGTTTTCTTTTATTCTCTTGGCAGTCTTAAAATTGATTCTCTTAGAAGGTTGAGAAAACCAGAGAGAAGCATGAGCGATGACAAAGAAAACCAAAGGTATTTTTAAAACAAACAAACAAATCATTTAACAATTGTGAAAGTAACTGGGTTTTTTGTGACGTTCACACTTTGCTCTCCCCTGTTTTTCAAAATGCCTGTGAGCTAAGTCTATCCTGCAAAGAGCAAGTAACTACAGAGACGCTATGTGACTTGTTATAGTGTTAGATGTACACTGCTGTACTAAAACTATATTTAGTGGAATCTGGCTGTAGTGATCTAGGACCTGTAGATGCCTTAACATGTAACTGTATGAATGTAAAGGTTGTAACTTATGTTTGGACTCAAAAGCTTTTTTGACTTTTCTCAAATATCCTGAATTGTTCTGTGTATCCATTACTCAAATATTTGAGTACTTCCTTTCTTTCTTGAATACTAATTCTTATGAGAATTCTTGTTTTATCTCCTTACCACTATCATTCTTTTAAATCTAATAATTAAAGATTTTTCCATATAAATGGCAAGTGGGTTAATAAATACAGATTTACATACAAAGGAGAGATGATACTAAGGGATTTACAGTTATGTGACATCATAAAAGCAGTATGATTGTACAGCACCTTCATACCCACTACTGTTTTGGAGTAATTGTAATATATGGTAAGATCAACAGCATTTTGAAGTCATTCGCCTGATAGACAGTTTCATGTGGATTAAATGATTTGCCTTGCCCCAAGTGGTTAAGTGAAAAAGTTCAGGAAAGTAGAAAGCACTTATTTTATCAGTTTTTAATGCTTCTTGTAATCAAGGACAAAATACTCAGGTTTGCCAGGTTTTGTATTTATATACAGATTTTTTTACAGGATCTATTCTGTTGGTGTTTAGAGATTTATAGCACCTTTCTCAAGATAATCCTCAAGAAATATTTTGATTTTCATAATCAGATACAGTTTTCAGCAGAATTATTTGTGGTTTAACCTTTCATCTTCAAGAGCTAGAAACGGGGCTGTGTTGAAGAAAAAGAACACAAATTAGTTTTCACAGCAGTTTCTGCAGATTTTAAAATGCCTTGAAACATTAATTAAATTTATTAAAAACTTTCCATTTCTGATATTGGCAGGAATGGAAGTACACTACTTCTGTAAATTAAAAGATCAAATGGTGGCACTGTTCAGGTTTTCCAACAACAGTTTTACACTTGTTCTGCCAAGGTGGTGTTAGTTGTGAATCTGTATTCTAACCAGCCCAGGCACGATCCCATGCATGGCACACCCCGAGGAACTTGGTCTTTCTGGGAGCAGGTGGCATCCACATAAGATGAGGTATACAAAGCCATGGCTGCATCAGGACTGTGTTCACTTAAACATATGACCTTGGCACCTAACCTCTGGGGTCTGTTCCAGAAGGCATCTTGGTAGTTTTGTTAGTGAAATGTCTTTGGAGTAGTGTTGCTTGGATTGCTGGGAAGGTCAGAACCAAGTGGAACATTTCTGTGATCTGAATGAAGAGGTCTTGTGCCAAACTTGGCTCTTTATTTGTTAATATTTTTTCTTTTGATGAGAAGAGGAAAATGATAATTGTCATTTAAAGCATTGTTGCTTATGAACATTACTATTCTAAAGATTTTATTCAGGTGACTCAGAATACAGAGGATTACAGATTTCTGGGGCTTCTAATAATCCAAGTAAAATTGTTGCTGAACTCTTCAAGGAAGCAAAAGAACATGGAGCTGTCCCGTTAGATGAAGCCTCAAGAGCATCTGGTGACTTAAGTAAAGCTAAGGTAAAAGTTAAACGATACTTTGATCTCTATTTACATTAGTCTCTCTGAAACTTATATAACCACATGAGAGTGAATACACCTTTTTGTGGTTTGCGAATAACAGAGGATTTGATCAACACTGTTGTGTGTTATCTGTGCTCAGACAGTTTGCTCTAGAAAATAAAGTGGGGAGGAGCCACACAATTTCAGGGGAAGTCATTAGAATTCAACCTGAAATGGAATTGCTTGCTTTATTTTTAATTAAAATTTCTTAAAAAAACCCAAAAAAACAAACCTGCAGTTGCATCCCCAAAATCTCTTACCCGCTGAATTACTACTGGAGGGTAGTGGTCAAAGGCTCAATGTATCAATGGAGATCTGTGACAAGAGGTGTCCCTCAGGGGTCCATACTGGGACCAGTACTGTTTAATATCTTCATCAATGACATAGACAGTGGGATCGAGTGCACCCTCAGCAAGTTTGCAGATGACACCAAGCTGAGTGGTATGGTTGACATGCCTGATGGTCGGGATGCCATCCAGAGGGACCTGGACAAGCTGAGGAATTGGGCCCGTGTGAATCTCATGAGGTTCAGCAAGGCCAAGTGCAAGGTCCTGCACATGGGTCAGGGCAACCCCCGGTATCAATACAGGCTGGGGGATGCAGGGATTGAGAGCGGCCCTGTGGAGAGGGACTTGGGGGTAATGGTGGATGCAGAACTGGACATGAGCCAACAAGGTGCACTCACAGCCCAGCAAGCCAACCGTATCCTGGGCTGTATCAAAAGAAACGTGGCCAGCAGATCAAGGGAGGTGATTCTGCCCCTCTACTCTGCTCTGGTGAGACCCCACCTGGAGTGCTGTGTCCAGCTCTGGAGTCCTCAGCACAGGAAAGACATGGACCTGTTGGAGCGGGTCCAGAGGAGGTCCTCAAAAATGATCAGAGGAATGGAACACCTCTCCTGTGAGGGCGGGCTGAGAGAGTTGGGGTTGTTCAGCCTGGAGAAGAGGAGGCTCTGGGGAGACCTTACTGCAGCCTCTCAGTACTTAAAGGTGGCTCATAAGGAAGATGGGGACAAACTTTTAAGCAGGGCCTGTAGTGATGGGACAAGGGGTAGTGGGTTTAAAGTAAAAGAGGGTAGATTCAAACTACATATAAGGAAGACATTTTTTATGATGAGGGTGGTGAAACAGTGGAACGGGTTGCCCAGAGAGGTGGTAGATGCCCCATCCTTGGAAACATTCAAGGTCAGGTTGTACAGGGTCCTGATCAACTTGTTCTAGTTGAAGATGTCCCTGCTCATTGCAGGGGGGGTTGGACTAGTTGACCTTGAAAGGTCCCTTCCAACCCAAACTGTTCTATGATTCTAATGTTTGAAAAAGTGTACAGATTAGAAACTGAAATGCATCACTTAAGACCTGCTTAGCCTGATTATGGTTACTAGGTATAATTTTCCACTTAGAAAATATACAAGTTAGAACAGTGAATTTGCTTTTTATCACAGAAGCAAGCTTGCTGATGCTTTTATTTGCACCTAGGTAAGAATTTTAATAAACTGTTTCAGATATTTATTTCAATAAGCTTGTCTATGTATTTTTTTCCAGTCATTTTCTGGTGGTGGATATAGATTGGGTGACTCATCACAAAAGCACTCTGAATATATATATGGAGAAAATCAGGATGTAAGTAAAATTCTGAATAGCAGGAAACAGAATCTCCAAGAGATACCTGCTTAATCATGTTTACAGCTTGAAATGCCAGTATTACTGTAACGATGTCTATGAGGAAAAACTAATATCTAAATATTAGGTATGTGTTAAGTAGAAATTGTTAAAGTAAAAGTGTCCACAGAGGACAGACGTTCGTTGCGTACCCCTAAGGCCTCCATTATGGAATTTTCTGATGTAAATTAGTTTTAAATTCTTAGCAGACATTCCTTTCAGTTACTTTCCTCCAGCTGTTGTTCTGCATTCTCTTAGCTATGCTAACATTTTAATCCTCTTAGGTTAGGAATTGTTTCTTGTTGTGGCTTGCAAAGTAGCCAGTCTCAAACTGGAGGGCATGGGTATATTCTAGGAATGGTGAAGCAGCAGGTTAGAGGCCTTTTGAAAATTGTCTGGCCTTTCTTTCCTCTCACTTAAAAAGCAGGAAGTGAGGGAGAGGCCGAGGAAAAAGAAAGTTCTCTACACTTTGCCACTTGTGTGAATGGCTAGAGCAAATGTTAAGCTTATCTAAAATAAAACCGAGAAATGAGTGAGGCCAAAGGATGTGGTTCAGGCTGGGGGGTGCTATCACATCACACCAGGAGCTGCTACCTTCTACCCTCTTAAGTAATCCTTCTACCCTCTAAGTAACAGCCAGTTGTACTGAGCCAGAAGCCTGTTGCAGTGGGGTTACCATGACTGGGGGAAGGGATAGTTTTCTAAGGGAAGGCCAGTTTTACTGGCTAGGGAAGCCTGGTTGTGCTGGACTGCAAGGCAGTTGCAGGGAAGAGAGGTGCAGGCTCTGAAGGTGAAAGGCTCTGGCTGAACATACAGGCACGCAGCAAAATAAGAAAGGAGCGAAGGAGGCTAGTTTCCAGGATTCTCAGCATTTGAACTGAATGGAGCTAGTATTAACTTTACTGGAGCACAGTATGTAATAATTTGAGGAAAGAGTAGTTTTCACTGTAACTGATGTATCAGCAGTAATTTGTAATTTTATAGATTTATTTCTTAATTTATCAACAATAAATGTTTACTGGTTTTGAAAGTAATTGGAACACTGTGAAGATCACTACACAGTCACTGTATTATCTGTTGTGTCATGGATAGCAGTTTAAGAGATTCTTTTTCCCCAAGTGTAAAAGTGGTCTTGAAGTAGATAGTAGTCTATAACTATTGTTTGCTTTTTTTAAAGGATTCTAACAATGATAATTAGAGTGCAGTGCTCTTGTCATTTGCATTCTTGTTTGTGGTCTGGTACAAACTCTTTTAAGTATAGATCAAAAATTGTGTAACTAATCTGTATGAAATTGAAATACCTTATTTGTCTATCTTCACTTGTTTTTTATTTTGCTGTTTTTACTTCATAGGTTCAAATTTTGCTGAAACTGTGGAGGAATGGCTTCAGTTTAGATGATGGGGAGTTGAGATCCTATTCAGACCCAACAAATGCTCAGTTTCTTGAGTCTGTTAAAAGAGGGTAAGTTAGAATGGCAACTTTTTTGAGGTATGTCTTTCAAGTGAAGTGAAGAAAAATGCTTTCTCCGCATGTTTATAATGATTAAAAGCTCCAGGCTTCTCCTCTGCCTGCACCTATAAAATATATTCTGTATTTGTCATCATGCATAGGGCATTTAAAAATTTTTGGTTCCTTTTGGTGGTTTAACTCCGAATGTTACTTGTTACAGGCAGCTTTTAGTTTCACATGTTTTGTTAGCTCATTCTAGGTTTTGACTATCAGTATGTTTTAGGTTTTGACTGTCAGCTCACTGGTTTTTTTTCTTTCTTTAGGATGAAATCAGTTCATAAAACAATTGGATGTCTATGACTGTTAAAGTAAACATACTAATAGTATCAACTCATATTGTACTGTGTAAGGTTTTTGTGTAATTTTGTATTGCAGTTCAGAATGTAATTGGGAAACTTTTCTTTTTGTAATTAAGGGAAATTCCTGTGGAACTGCAGCGACTTGTTCATGGTGGGCAGGTTAATTTGGATATGGAAGACCACCAAGAACAGGAATATGTGAAGCCTAGACTGCGATTCAAAGCTTTCAGTGGTGAAGGGCAAAAACTTGGAAGGTAAATGTCATGGTTTAACCCCAGCCAGCAACTAAGCACCACACAGCCGCTCTATCATTCCCCCTCCTCAACTGGGCAGGGGAGAGAAAAATATAACAAAAGACTCATGGGTTGAGATAAGGACAGGGAGAGATCACTCAACCAATTACCATCACAGGCAAAACAGACTCAGCTTGGGGAAAATTAATTTAATTTATTGCCAATCAAACCAGGGTAGGATAATGAGAAATAAAACCAAATCTTAAAACACCTTCCCCCCACCTCTCCCTTCTTCCTGGGCACAGCTTCACTCCCCAATTCTCTACCTATCCCCCGCCACCCCGTGGCGCAGGGGGACAGGGAATGGGGGTTACAGTCCGTTCATCACATGTTGTCTCTGCTGCTCCTTCCTCCTCAGGGGCAGGACTCCTCACACTCTTCCCCTGCTCCAGCGTGGGGTCCCTCCCACAGGAGACAGTCCTCCATGAACTTCTCTAATGTGGGTCCTTCCCACGGGCTGCAGTTCTTCACGAACTGCTCCAGCGTTGGGTCCCTTCCACAGGTTGCGGTCCTTCAGGCGCAGACTGCTCCAGCGTGGGTCCCCCACAGGATCATGAGTCCTGCCAGAAAACCTGCTCCAGTGTGGGCTCCTCTCTTCATGGGTCCGCAGGTCCTGCCAGGAGCCTGCTCCGTTGTGGAGTCCTCCATGGGCTGCAGGTGGATATCTGCTCCACCGTGGACTTCCGTGGGCTGCAGGGGGACAACCTGCCTCACCATGGTCTTCCCCATGGGCTGCAGGGGAATCTCTGCTCCGGCGCCTGGAGCATCTCCTCCCCCTCCTTCACTGATCTTGGGGTCTGCAGGGTTGTTGCTCTCACATGTTCTCACTCCTCTCTCTGGCTGCAGTTTCTCTTGCACAGCAACTTTTTTCCCTCCTTAAATATGTTAGCCCAGAGGCTGTCGCTATCGCTGATGGGCTCGGCCTTGGCCAACAACGGGTCTGTCTTGGAGCTGACTGTCATTTGCTCTGTCGGACATAGGGGAAGCTCCTAGCAGCTTCTCACAGAAGTTACCCCTGTAGCCCCCCCTGCCACTACCAAAACCTTGCCATGCAAGTCCAATACAGTAAAAAACGCTAGGTTTTCTGTTCTGTGTTTATATCTATTTCAAAAGCTGGATTTAATCAATTAAGAGACTGTTGGAGAAACTAATCTGATGACAAAAGCAAGATAAACTTATTCTGTGCCACAAGTCTCACCCCTGATTTCAGAGTCACCAGTAATCATGAAAGTTTATATATAATCTTAAAAAAAGTTAAGTCTTAGTCCTCTGTTGAAACTGCTCATAGATTTGCTAGCTGCTTTGTGCTTTGTTGTGACTATGAGATTTCTCTGCCTGTTCTTGCACATAATTTTGCCTATAATTTTTTTTTAATTCAGCTGTGTTTAAAACAGGAGCAAAGGAGGCCAAAAGGTGATTAATACTTTACAAACTTCATGAGAAAATCTCTGGATAGAGGAAGCAGACCCAAATAAATTGTTCCTCGTTTAGCGAGGAACAGACAGAACTTGGTTATAATGTGGTATTGGCCAGTAAGGATACACTCTGCTCTGGCTTAGCTGCAGTACATGTTGTCTTTTATTGCTGGGATCATCACAAAGGGAATAGGAGATGCTATTGCAGCAATATGGCTGATGCCTGACTTAATGCGGATGGGAAGTATTTTTGTATGGGGGTAACTCCCATATATTTTTTCTGGAATGAAGCAGCAGAAATACTGTCCTGAAATACAGCCTTGTTAACAGTCACTCATTGTAAGTTATACAAGGCAAGTCTGTTAGCTTTAAGAAAGAGAAATAATTTGATAAACTAACTTTTTTAGTTTGATCAAAATAAATGAGCAATAAGTTGTATCAAAATCTCTTAACTTCTACTAGGATTTGATTAAAACTTCAAATGATGCTGCAAAAATCTATAGTAGGAGCTGTTTTTTAAAAGCAAACCACCAGAGAAATTCCACATGCTCCCCTAGATGAAATAATACTGCAAAGCCTGGATTGTGGGAGAGGAGAGGCTCAACTTTTAACCTCTGATTGGAAGCCCTCACTTCCTTCAATTCTAGTGTCATCTCCAACTACAATATAAAGTTCATATATGTATTAAAAAAAATTAAAAAAGAAATATAGTGATTTCAGAAACTTTACACCTGGTTCTGTTTCATTTGCTGTCCTGGTGCAAGGGTAGGCTGATACTGTTAGTGTAGAATTCAATTGAACTGATGCATAATGTGCCAAAATTCATTCCTGTGACTGAACATCTCAGACTGCTTTGTCCAAAAGTGCATAATCTCTGTTCACCTTAAGTTGGTCAGTAAGAGTTAACAGTATTGTGACCTCAACTCTGCCAATCATCAACTTTTTCACATAACAATTACAGGCTTATAGCATCTTTTTCGGCTGACTTGATATTAGCTGTTGAATTGTAAATACTTCTAGGTTTCTGTTCATGTTTGCATTTATTCATGTAATATTTTTGGTTGCCAGAAGTATTGCTGGTATGCTTCTGCAAGTAATTTAATTCAATAAATGATTCTTAACTGTTTCTAATCTGTATTTCATCTTTTTAAAAATGAGGAAGTGTGCTCAGTAAAACTGAGAAGGTGGTAAGCTCTGGTAGGGGTGACATAGGGAACAATTGTATATAATAACTTCTTCACCTGAGCACTTGCTCAGATTATTAAAGAGAAGAGGTGGGGAAGAGAGGAGGTTCTGTATATAAGAAAATGTGCATACCTGTTGTGTAGTGTATTTGTTTGGTTTGGTAGCTTATGAAGTTTCAGGTATGTAAGCAATGAAAGGAGCAGCCAAATTATTATCTCCTATCAGATTTATATTATTTTTATACTAAATGTAAAAAATTCCATGCTTACTATGTGATGATACCAATTACCTGTTAATATAATTTATGCTCTAAAAGGGTGGGGGATGCCCAGAATCATAAAGTAGTACTTCTGAAAGCAATTACTAAAGCAGTTTGGGTCAGTTTAGTGCACTATAGTTGTGCATGATTATTTTTTTATATAGTCCAGGAGGTATGATATCTAAATCTTAGTATCAAAGACTGTCATTTCATGCTCTGTAAGCATAAACAAAGATAGTTCTGTTTGTACTTGATTACCTATTTAAAATCATGCAAATGTAATGATATGTGTAGTTATGAGAGAAATAAATATGAAATATTGCAATCATTGAGAAGAAACTAAAGGATTATTTGTGTGTCTGTTAGAAAACCTGTGTTTATACTTAGTTCAGATAACTTTGAGAGGATTTTCGTTGCTCATTTGTACTAGCTATATATGGTAGTCATTCAGTGAAAAAGACAACTGAAACATCGCTCAGTTCTGGTTTGACTCCATTAGTAACATCTGGTTTGGTTTTTTTTTCAATCCTTTAGCCTTACACCTGAAATAGTCAGCACACCTTCTTCACCAGAGGAGGAGGAGAAATCCATTCTCACTGCACCTGTTTTGATCGATGATTCCATGCCAGCAACTAAAATTCAAATTAGATTAGCAGATGGAAGCCGATTAATACAAAGATTTAATCAAACACACAGGTAAATTGATTCTGCATCAATGCAGGTAACCATAACTATTTCAATAAGTTTGTGTTTTGTCACTAAATGAGTATCAGCAAGAGATGAAAAAGGGGAAAATACAGCTCAACTGAAATATATAGCTCAGTGTCATTTTCATAACACAGATGTACTGATAAATTGACTGTCAAAGGAAAATTCTGTTCATGGAAACACAAGATATTTGATAACTGTGAAGTCACAAACTTTTATGACCGATTATGTCCTGTGATTTGTAAAGATACAGTAACAGCCACAACTGTTCTTAGGGTGACTGAAATCTGGACAACCTTGCTATGTAGTCATCCCAACCCTGGGCCCTTCTTGGGAGGAGCATGTGGCTGACTTGGATGACACTGTGAAGGCACTTTATTGCAAGGTGTCTATTTTTTTAGATCTGTTAGTAGTTTGCTGATTAGAGCTTGCCATTAGTTTTATTGACATTGTCGGGGCATTGCCACAAATGGTCTTGGCCAACCCCATTTATTTGCCTAAGAGGTTGTGTTAGTGCAAGGTTCTGCAAAGCTCTGCTTTGCACTATGTGGCTGAGAGAACTTTGGGCAGAGGGCAGAGATTTGGGCAGTAGTTCCACCTATGCTTCACAGCAAGCATGGTTCAAGCCAGCCCTGATCTGGAATCTGCACCATAGTGTTAGAACACAGCTGAAACTGAGCCTGAATCCTGCCTTGGAGGTAGTCTTAGCATGGACCCAGTTCCATGTTAATATTGTTATATGGTGAGTTCACCTGTTTCCTTTTTTTCCTTCTGGCTCAGAATAAGGGCAGAGCCAATGTGCAGCTTTCTTCACCTGACAACATACACAGACCACAATGAGGCAATTTTAGCTGAGGTGCCAATAGGAAGGAAGATACAGCAATAATTTTTCATATTTTAGCAGACCTGATAATGTACACTGATAGTACAGGCCAGATCCTTTCTTCACAGCACCTGCTGGAGAAGTGACTTAGATAAACAGTAGGGCCTATTGAGAGCCTCTGTACCCATGATGGGTTTTCTTCTGTCTGCATGAAGGGGCAGAAGTGGTAAAGTTCCCAGTAACATCTGTAACCAAGGATGTGTTGACAGAAGCTTATTTTAATCATTATTAACTTTCTCTTGGATGTGAATCTGTTTAGTTATCCTTGCCATATGTATGATCAAAATCAGCTACTAAAGCACATTGCTTGTGTCATAAGCCTTGAAGACTGATAGAAAGTTGAAGTCCCTGCTTATTTGGCTACAGTAAATCTGCCTATTTAATCAGTTACAATAGATCTTTAAAGATTTATTCTCAGCTTACTGTCTTAGGAGAGAAACCTCAAATTTCAGGTTTTTATCTCTAAAATCTTATGCATTTTTCATCCATGTCTTATAAAACTAAATTATTCCTGTTATACTGTTGATGTGATTGTTTTATGAACTATTGTTCACAAGTTCAGTGCCAAGTGAAAGTAGGAGAAACCTCTTGTTGAAGTGCATTAATAACTCCCCTCTGCTTTCTTATCACTTTCACCATATATTTTAAGATTCTTCCTTCCATTAATAATTTAGGCTTTTTGCAATATACTAATTAATAGTGAAATTTTTGAGAGCTGGTGTTGAAATTACTTGACTTTCTGTGTTAAGTATCAGTTTGCAATATACTTCTATGTTACAAATTTTATTTCCGTTGAGAAAACAAGCAATATTCATTTTAATTTTTCAGGTTTTTTTCTGTAAGAAGAAAAAATTCTAGGCTACAACCATTAGTCAGCTGGATCAAATGGAAATGTAAAATCAATAGGACATATTAAATGGTTTAGTCTGTTAGAAGGTTTTGTGTTCTCTGATCATCTTAATGTTCAGAGATTTATGTCAAAATGGAATCATACACAGTTTTCATGTCCATATCCTTTCCACAGGATTAAGGATATTCGAGATTTCATTATCCAGTCCCGTCCAGCATTTGCAACAACTGATTTTGTTCTTGTGACTACCTTTCCAAATAAAGAGCTTACAGATGAAAGCCTGACACTACAAGAAGCAGATATACTTAACACTGTGATTCTTCAGCAATTAAAGTAATCTTACAGTTGTTGGTATGAAATAGGGACTGTGCTGTCTTGTCATACAATATGTTTCCAACAGATGAAAAAAAGGAAGGAGCAGTGTCTTTTTATTACCCCACTTCCATGGATCAGATTTTTGGGTTTCATGTCTTCCAGCTATAGCATATCTTGCTTTTTTGTTTGAATTTCTCAACATTGTTCAGCCTTTTTTCAGTGTTAAAATTAAGCTTCCCTATGTTAGTTTGTTTCAAACACATCTTGTACTAAATGTGAAATGAGGTATGACTTTATGACTCTTCATTATTTTAAGAGGGGTGAGGGGAGAAGCATTTGGGGACAGTATCTTTCATACAGTTGGTAAGATTTGCACTATGGAAATGTTTTATGCTGCATTGACAAACAGCCATTTGAAAACTTAGCCTGTAGGTTATGTTTACCTTCCAAGCTGTATTAATATTAAGGTGTTCTGTTTAATAGGTTGACAGATAATTAATGCCCTAATACAATTTTTGTATATTCTGTTTGTAGTGTTTCATGGTGCAGTATAATATTTATATTCTAGTTTTTATGTAATTTTCCCCGTATTGTTGCTCATATGAGTGAATCAGTTCAGGAGATGCAAATCTCAGCTATCACAGACTATAATAGGTTGTTGACATTTGTATTCCAGTTGTTCTACTTGTGGTGAAAATAAGTATGAAGTTTTTTCTTCTTGAAGCTAGAGAAATGGGAGAGACCACTGTCATCTGGAGAAATGCTGTGATTTAGATTTCATGAAAGTAGGCCTGTGGTCACTTTGAATCTGAATATGCAGTTGAACCCTGTGCAGCTACATGATTCTTCACATAAACAGTTACTTAAATAACCCCAAACAAAAAGACACAAAGATGCACAAACACAGAACTTGTTTATGCTGTCACTTGCATGCACAAAAGTAGACATGTTAATTGGTCGTGTATTTTTGACCTGGATTTCAGGTCTTTATATTTGGACTTTTGGCCAAAGGCATTTTGTAATATTCAATGGGGATTTGGTTGTGCAGCTTTCACTATACTTGTTTGGAAGCTGTATAGTTAAACCCCTTAATATTTGAAATTATATATTTTTTCAAATAACTTGGCCCTACGCTGCAGTATGCGGGTAGGAATCTTATGTTGTGGGCAAACTGGCTGCTGTGCTTTAGTATTATGCAGTTTTATAGTATTTGTGGCTTTATATCAGATGAGTGGATCACACTCTGAAGGAGGGTAAATGGGCTGTATCTCTTGTACCGATATATGTGTTAAAAATGCTGTTTTCACTGATTATTTTATTCTGAAAATATCAATATTTATTTATGCTAAGCTTATAATTGCTCAGTATATTTGATTAATCTTACATTTTTACCTCAAAGTAGATATTTGACTGAGTAAATTTTAAATGTGCAATTGTATTTGAAGTATTTGGTTTTGTAATCTGAATATCTGCATGATTTTAATCATAATTCATTTCACGTGCTACGTAATTAAAGTTTTAAGCTAAAAAGACCATAGGCAACACTTCTTGTTTTCTTCGCAATTTATGTTGTGATGAAGTGGTGGTTGTGTTGCATGCCAAATATTTAAGCCTAAATGGAAAGGAATGCATATATTACTATGCGTATATTTTATATACTAACACTTCTCTATATAAATGCAAGGGCAGAGTCAGTATCGTGATACCAATCTTGGGCAGTCTGTGGTTTGGGCATATTTCAGTTCAGATTATAGGTAAAGTTACATTGCTTATTACTTCTGAAGAACATTATTAATTAAACACTGATGTATGAAGAACAGTGGTTAACTAAATTGGGTTTTTTCCCTGCTGTCATACCAAAAACCACAACTGCATATTATCACAATCTCTTTGTTTCAAATAGTTGGTAAATTTTTGTGTTCAGTAGCAGCTGAGAGTAACTAGGGGTCCCAGTAGTTGACATTATTTTGTCAAGCACTAAGAAAATATATCAATGCTCGTGTTTAAATATTTCACTGCTTCTCAGTACTTTAAAACCTATAGAATCTTCTGTCTCATGATTTTATATCATACCTTTTATTAACATTAAGTTCTCACTCACGTAGCTAACATCTTGGCATTTTTGGCACAAAACAATTCTTTGACTACAGACCTATGTGGATACACAGTTAAGACTGGCTACAAGGGAGAAGGGAGACTGAAACAAGGGAGAAGGAACTTTGCAGAGGATGATGATCTTTCCCTCACAGCAAGGCTGCTGAGCTTCTTGGGAATTCCTCTTAGCTTCTGTGAAATACAGTTAATGATCCTGTCGCTCTTGTAGGCAGTTTGTGAAAGGCTCAGGCTTCACCTCTGCTTGTCTTTCCCAGAAATCCTTTATCACTCAGAGCCAAATAATGCAAAACTGAATGTTTTCTCTTAAGAAAATCTCTCTGGACCCGAATACTTGTGCTTTTGGGTTTTGGACACTACTCCCATCTTTGTAATCATTTATTCTCGATAAACACAATCAGGCTCATTAGTTTTTGGGGTTCTCTGTCTTTCAGCAGCACATTGGGACGTTTGTAAACATTCTGTTTTAATCAGACTACTGGACACACTTGTACAATTAGCATATATTAACAGCTGTCTCATGCTGTTCTCACTCTGGTGAAAATCTATCGAATATTAAATGAACCAAGGAAGAGCATGCAAGCACTCAGAGGTGGTATTACTAGCTCCCTGCTTAGCGCTTGCACTAAGCTAAAGCTCCTATGATCTTTAAATGATACTATTCTGTGCAGGGAGAATAAACAGAGATGTGCCTTCCCCTTGCTCATTCTGATTCAGCCTGACAGGCCTCAGCATAGGCATGTGCTGTTTGAGATGATGAGACAGTGAGCAGCAAGAGTTTGGAATAATAAATATTGAATTCATGGCATGCCAAAAGCAGTAAGCTTGTGGTATTTCTATGGGATGGATATAGTTGGAATGGGTTCTTGAAGAGATTAAAAGTAGGACTGGTACTACTTAGCTGCTTATCAATTATCTGAAAATAAGCTTTGAAAACCCAAAGATTAGTGCAATGATAAACAACAGGAAGTGGCAACTATGATGAACATTTAGTGAACTGTAGCAATCGGATCAATTGCATCCTTAATACAGCCAAATGTCAAGTTATGAATCTGGAACCAGCTGTGAAAGACACTAATAGCCTGGAAAGCACTGGCCCTGGAAAGAAGTTGGGTGACAGTTGGAAAACAGTGCAGCACAACTATTTACACCCCTTTGAGGTTTACAGAGTTGACTTTGTCACTGGGAGATTATTTTAATCCCTGTGTTGTTATTGGTGAGTTTGATACTGTTTATGGTGCTGGTCCTGCTTCTTAAGACTTTAGAGATGGGACCAAAAAAATCAATGGAAATGCTCGATTAAATATCTTATCTTAAAAAAGCTCAAAACAGGTAGCTTATCAGGAGGAAAACAGAGAGATGAGATGATTTAAAGTGGGCAGTTACTTCACAGAGGGCGAAAAAGTATTATAGGACTCTTTGGTAGAGAAAAGCATAACAAGAATTAGAAGCTTGTACAAAGCTGGAAACTCAGTTCAGGTTATTTTCAAAGTGAAATTAAATCATGTTTTTCAATAGTTGAACTACTGGAATGAACCAACCTTGAAAATCAACTTCTCTAACTTCTGTTTTTTGTTTAATTCTCACTGTTATGATGGCTTTCTGTAAGATTTGTTTTAATTAAATCAAATTTTGGGGGGTTTTGCTACTGAGACAAGTTAAAATAAGATGGTTTAGTTTTTGGAAAGCAATTTACTTTGCCTCTGTCCAGTCATACTTATAATTAATAAATTCTGCTGTATGTTTCATATTTAAAAGCTGGAAACATTACGTACCTCACTATACATCTTCAATATTTTCTTTACAGACATTCCAAAAAAAGTCTGCTGAACTTCAAAGAGATGATTAACAGAGCTCAGATTACAGATCAGAAGTCACCTTCTTACACTTCTTACTTGCAACTCTTCTCCTTTAGTAATGGTCCTGTTCTGACCATAATTGAAGAGCTCTCTGGCAGCACATCTGGATGTTAAAGGGGAGAAACTAAGTTTTAAAATTTTTTAATCTAAAACTGAGAAGTGGGGAGGGTATCTAGTTCTTTTCTGTTTGCTGGGAGCTGTCTGCTCTTGAGTTAAGTATGTGATCTACAAACTACATATTTGGGCTCTTTTTCTGGGGTATGAGAAGATAGATATGTTATTCCAAACTGCAATAAGGTGAACTGAGTGAGACATTCCTAACTGTGGCAATAACTCCCTAAATCTTTTTTTTTTTTTATTATGACAGAGCTACTATTTTACATTTATAAATCTACCTCAGTCCAAATTAATTTGGTGAGATGTTAGACCATTTAAATACTAATGAGCAAGTATTCCCAAATGGGAATACCCAGGAGTAATTTTCCCATATGATGTTTTTAGCTGAAGTTTGAATTGAAGGACTTACTTCTACAGGGCTGCAAAGCTGGTGTTTATTTCATGGAATTCTTAGTGTCTTACTAGGTGCTGATATAAAAATTTTGATTGTCTATTCTAGAATAAAAAAATAGAATTCATAGTGTTTACTAGCTCTATCTTAAAAATTACCAATTGATTGCATTTTGAGGACAAAATAAATTTTCTGATTTCCAAATTAAATTTTAATGAACTTTTTCATGGTAATAGCTGTCTAGTGTTTTGGACCAATGAAAGCCTCAGAACTTTAGTGCCTGCATTGTACAAACCCCAGACAAATGCTCCATTTCAGTGAACAGAATTCATTCCTGTTTATCTTGCAACTGTTCCTAATCAAGTTAAATTAAATCATCATTAATCAGATGTTCACAATGCAAATGTCCTTACAGTCTTTCATGCCAATTTATTTAATCCATTTTAAATTAGATTTCACAAATAAAAATCTCTGCCTGAATGTGAAAATGTAAGTGCTAGTTTTTTGGGAAGTTTGCAGTTAATAGAGAAGAACTTAGATGAGGTATTTATTTCTACTTGCATTTGAATTCCTCTTCTCTTGGCAAGCTGGTTCTTGTTAAAAGAAATAGAGAAATTTTCAATGGAGAAGACTTTGGCTCTGAATGTGGACTAGTGCTACCACTTTTTGTCCATGAATGAGTGCCCTGATACATGTGAATACTTGTTTCCACTTTTTTATTTATCACTTTTTTTATATTGGTTCTCTTGTTTTGAATATATCATGTGTGTGCTTTCAACTCTTTTAACTATAAAATTATATTCCTGCATATTTTTCTTAATGCAGTGCTACTTCCTATAGCAGTCCTCAAATCCTGTAGTCTAAAAGGAATCATTGAAAGCAAAAGAGGGAGCATGAGGCAGATGGTTATGTTAAAATGTTTTTCCACTAAAGAGCTCCTGCTCTTACTGTCTTATAATTATTTGGGTTTTCTAAGGAGTCTTCCTGAACACCATTTTTCCTGGAAACAGACACAGTTGGAGCTGCTTGGTAACCTTGGTCACCACTCAAAAAATTGTAAGCCGGGATTTGGTCTGTGTGAAAGGAGTGAATGCTTCATCTGGAGAGAACAGACAATTAGACCTTAAAAGGATCTGCTCAGAGGAAAAAAAGTGAACCTGAATCCTATCTTAAATCCCAACGCTGGGAAGGTTCAGATGTATCACTGAGTTATAGATGCATATTTAACATTTAGCTTTTCATCCCCAAAAAGGGAGAGTGGCTGCTCTAACTTGATTTTAGTTGTTTTGAAGGTGCGCTTCCCTCTGCTCTTTCTGAAAATGGTAAAAATAAACTTTGTGCAACTGGCTTGCAAGGAGAGAGCTAACTCTTCCTGCCCTGACTGTACTGCAAGCTGGTGTTAAGATAGAGGCTAAAAATCTACCTTGGTAGAATAAAAAATAAAACTCAAAGGCCTGGAAATATTCTAGGTTTCAGCTAGGCTTAAAAGATAGGTCTGGCATCAGTCACAACCCTTAATGGAGGACTAAGCCCTGTTATTAGGGATATGCCTTAAGGGAGATTCCCTGAACATTTCTGTCTTACTCGTTGTCCGTATGACAGGTGCGGTTAATGTACAAGGGAAAATTGGAAATGAAAGATTCTTTGCAATGTGATGATTTAAGGTGTTGATATTAGCAAAATCATTTTTACTTGCTGACAAAAGGATTTAATTTCAAAGGGGGTTTTTGTTGGTTTTTTGGTGTGTTTTTTTTTTAATGTAGTGCAGTTCAGCTTCCAGGTTTCTGTCTGGGTCTCCATGATCCATAATTACTCCTCTCTAAAGCAATTACTTAAATGAATGGAGCTAAATAAACAGAGGAGAGGGGACAGATGGATGTGTCAGTCTGGCAAGCCTGGAGGCAATTTGGGCCTAGGAGGTAGAACAACCACACTCAGTAAATGTAGGCAGGAGAGGATGCTTGTTTAGTGGGGACCTGTAACACATCCCAGCTGAAATAGTCACTGTCCTGTGGGAGGCTGTTAGCTGGATCAAAGTTGGTACTCCAGGCTGCTGAGCTTCTGACACCTGCTTTCCTTCATTCCTGACTATCTACAAGTTGTTGTCTCTACTGGTCGTTCCTGTTAGTAGCATAGTGCCTGCAGTATGTCAGTTCTTACAATTGTAGTGGTTTGCAAGAGTCTGTTACAAAAGGCAGACTTGAAGTTTTCCCTTCCCTTCAATACCTTTCTTCATCCGGTTTCTTCAGCATAAGACCCCAAGATACACTAAACTAACACTTAACCTGGGTACATTGAGCAAGTTTGGATTGTCTCATCTTCTCACCATGTCACTTACAAATATTGCACTTGCCCTACTTCTATTTAATTGGTTTTAATGCATGTGCCCCAAACAAAACAAATTATACAATCAAAGTTTTGGTGTCTTCCCTGTATCCCTTCTAGTAGGCTTATGGTGCTGGCAGATAATTTCTGCCCAAGGACTCCAGCCCTGTGGAGTTCTCATGAGGGCAGCTCTCCTTCCTGAAGTCTACGCTTCACTATGGCAAGAATTTTTTTTTATCATTATTATTTCTTTTTGCTTGGCTTATTAGCAAATAAAGTTTGGTTAGTCATTGTGTATTCTAGGCTGCACAGAGTTCTCCAGTGTTTTGATGTTTCACATTTAAATCTGACTATTCTTTGACACTCCCCCCAGAGGAGTCTTAACAATATATGGGTTTACTTAGCTAGTGCTTTTTGTATTCTTATGTTGCAGGGCTCAGCCTTGGAATACGGTACTGCCTGGGGGGTTTTTTAGGGGGCTGTAGTATCTCATGGCCCAAACAATGAAATAAAGCTTAGGTTGCACGTATGATAAAGATGTGGAGTAGGTCACCATGTCAGCAAATAAATGTGAGAAAACTAGAACCTTGAAAAGATTTTGGAAGAACTTTGATTCTCCATGTTTCTCCTCTAGCCTGCACTGACCTCTTTCACACAGCAGTTTTTAACTATTTGCTCAGCTAAACATCTCATGTGTACAGGAAGTCTCTTTTATCTGTATCAAAGGCTTGAGCCTGCAAGGCTTAATGCCTGTCTTCCTAAGCAACTCCCTGGAGACTGTTGGCCTGCCTGTAGGCATATGTAAGAATAATTAACTTCAGGTTTAATGCTCGAATCCTAAGCTTTTTGTGGCTGATGCCATGTCTCTCAGTGTGTCTGCAATTCCTAAAAATAGTGGCTGCCTAGTTCTAGTTGCAATCTTCAGGCCCCATTGCAGTAAAACTTTGAAACAATAAAAAATCAGTTTAATGGCTATGTTATTGCTTTCTCCAATTCTAGCTCCTAGGGCCTTGACAGATACTGCAGTATCAGTCCCATGGATCTCCAAGTTGATGCATTGATGGATATAATCTGTAGCTTTGGTGTAGAGAAAATATATGGAAGAGAAGACTATTTGTCTTCTCTTTCTTTCTCTTTTGAAGTGGCAGTTTAGCTGAACCCATAAAAAGTCAGAACATGTCAACCTGGCAAGGTCTGTTTGCCTTAGTTGTCCGTATAGGCTTTATTACCCAATTGACTGCGCAAGCAGAGAAGGTAGAGGTGACCTGGAGTTAGTGATTTCCAAATAGCCTTTACTCATGGCCAAGGCCACCAACAAACACACATTTAATTTTATGAATTTTCTTCAAATAGTAGCATAGGCAAGCTTAGATAGTGCTGCTGTCTTTGTACAAGCACAGTAACTAAGTATTTGTTAAATGCTGTTACAATAGTGAGGTATCTCTGTTATGGAGAAAACTACATTTTGCTAATGGACTTGTTTAAGTCTACTCTTAAATGAACAAATCAGTCTCTTTTCCATAGAGTAACAATGTGATAGCCAATAGTATAGATTTCTGTAATATATTCAGAAGAACTTGAAATTTTGTCTAGTAGCAGTAGCATTGTTATAGAGAGCTTGTCTACAGTTATAAGGGTATTTTAGTTTCTGCAAGACAGGATAAAAAAATCTGTAACTATACTAGCAGATAGGAAAAATTTATCTGGATTAGGATTTTATAGATAAAACAAGCAGTGGTTGCCAAAGCTGCTGGCCTGATGAAATCAGACTAATCTTCAAGAATGGACTATATTATTGTTTGTTCAGGATGTGGTAAGTATTTTGTCTAAATTCCCTCAATGAAATATGGATGTAGATTCTGCCAACAACTTCTACTTTATAACAAAAGGAAAGTGTTAGGCTTTCAAAAGAAGCCTGAGTATATTGG